GCATATGTACTGCGATCGGGAAGCGTGGAGGTTGGGATGCGGTAAACGACCAAGACGATAGCCAAACCGGTTTTATAATAAAAATAAAATGTATATGGTACCTCAATAAAAATGGAGTCTTGAAAAGCAATTGAATAACAGTAAGTTGGTAATTACTAATTACAAACAGCATAATTCTATTTCAGCAACATTTTGGTTATTTGTTTACCTTGACATCTCTAAAAACAAAAAAATTACAGCCAATCAAAAATGTTATCAACATAAATTAAACGCACGGTACATTAAATGCATTTTCAGTGAAATGCCACACACAAGCATTTTATTGATGCTTTAATTTACTATTGCACGTTTTTTTGATTTAGTATCATTATTTTGTTATTGCGTTTTACTAAATAAACGTTATTATTATTATTATAATTTCTATTATTATTATTATTATTATTATTCTTGAAAATCCATGCGTATGCGTAGCATTTTCAATTGTAATGTTATGTAATGCTTCTATTTTTAATACAAAAAATATGACATCTCAAAAATTAATCCAAAAATGTTAGGTGATGGAAACATTTAGTTTAGTGAGTTCAGTCCCTATAACTCCAAAAATATGGAAAATCCCACATCACAATGTTCTTGTTGGCATGTGTTATTGGCTGCTTGTTGTTTTGCATGTATGACGAGATTTTAGTGCTCCGTACTATTGAGAAATGGAATATAGCTTAGAGCGATCGCAGAAATAAAGAAGCTCCAGTGGTGGCGCGGGCACACGATAGAGAGACGTTCAAATTAAATTCGTTTCCGCGTCGGAAAACGTTATCCGGGAACTTCGGCAATCGAAACTTTTCGATTGGATGCAATTTTTGTACCGGCTTCTTTGTGCCGACGAGTAAAACGCAAACTTTTCCCAATTTCCAGTGCGATCTCGCAATATACGTATACTTTACGTTTTTAAGGGGTTTATTTAAAAGTTATGGCGGGTTTTTCGTCCCCACGGCACTGAATTCGGGCGCCGTTCGTATCCGTAAAATGGAATTTAAAAGTTTCGCGAATCTTTTACGGCATTCGCGGGCGGATAATCGCCGACGGAATCCGGTGCCCGGAGTATTGTATCGCCGACGCGGCAATAAAATTTACGAATCGCGTCCGGCAATTGCGAAATTGCAGATTCGAAACTTATATGGCAACGGGCGAGGCCATAATTTGAGAGATTGGAGGACGAGACCCTTTGTGGGGGTGCGATCGCGAGAACTGTCGGCGGCGGTGGGGTGGGGGGGTTGGGTTTGTATTCTTTTAGCCCTTTATTAGGCACCACAGTTTCGATGGTGCCTCCGGCGCTGCTTCTGGTCATACCATTTTGTTGGGGAGGGTGGAGCAGCTTTTTATTATTTTTTGTGGCTTTTAACCATCAAGTCGATTTATTTTTAACTAACCTTAACTAAATTTACCCAAATTTTGGCGAAGTATCTAATAAACAAATTGTACTAATAAAATAAAATTTAAAAAAAATTATTTCATAAAAAAACTTTACTGTTGAATATAATATTTTTATATATAATTAATTTGTTTTGGTAAAAGAAAATTAAAATTGAAATAAAAATTTTTGGGTACTAATGAAATTTTAAATACATATTTTTGAGTTTATTATTATTATATGTTATTAATTTATATTTAAAAAAAATAAATAAAATGAAATGTGGCAAAAATTATTTTGTGTTAAAAATGTAAGCAAAAAGATTTCCTTATTCGTAAGATATTTTTCTATCAATTTTTTTTATTGGTATTTATAAGATTTTCGAAAGCTCTGGCTTTAGGCTAAATCCATAGAATTATCCAAAAAATAATATGGAATGTACAAATAACTAGAATTTATAATTTTAACAACGAAAAAAAAAATATGATTAATTTTTGTCAGTAGGTATACAAGAGTGGCTCAAAAAAACTTGACGATTAAAACATATTTTTTTAAAATGGGATAACCTATTTTCAAATTTTGCCTTGAATACCTTTTAAAATTCTTTAACTTTTTTATTTGTAATGATAAGTACATACCTATACCTAATAGTTATTCCAAAATTTTAATTTTTCTAGAAAAATACAACTGTTCACACTTAAAAACGTAATTATTTTTGATTATATTTTATATTAGCGTTATTCGAAAATGACGTAAAAGATATATGCAACGGAATTTGAATTAGATGCTACAGGCTGTTCAAAATAGACGAATCGATTTGGATATATACAGGGTGAACATACACAAGGTCATTCACAGTGAGCGTTCTATTAGACTTATGTAGGCGAATATGAGCTACCCATGTAAAATATTTTTGACCGGGCGGTGTCGCCGTATATACTAGTAACGTATATCAACTTTCGTTTATTAAATGTACCCTGTATATTACTACATTTTCCGAATCTGCGAAACATTTTGGAACTTTTTTTTGTAACATGTACCATACGTATCTTGAACATTTTCGGGGATAAAAAATACTTTTTAAGAAATTTAGCAAGGAACAATCCGAAATGAAATAATAACTTTTTTTCGCAAACTGTACAGCTACTTGCGGTTCCCTATTAAATTGCTTTATCATAATATAGTATGAGAATTAACTTATCGCCCACAGGGCGTTCAAAAGATAAGGCCCACATTGGCAAGATATAAAAATCAGTGTTAAGTGGGAATTTATTTATTGGCACGTAAATGAGCAGTCTCTATAGCTGTTTTCACTGGTTTTCGAACTATAAGCAAAAACTAAAATATTGCAATTAAAGCGAATTAAAATAATCAGATTTCATCTAGGTAGCAGGCTACAGATACTAATGTTAAATACTAATAAATAGTTTTTAATTATATGCAACAAGTTATTATGCTTGAAATGATCTTAAATAACATTAAAAACGGTTGCCTCTTCACCATAAGTTTGGATCAACACGACGTTCCAAATCTTCTATTGTTCCATTCCATGGACCTATCCATCTGAGCTCCATCAAATTGGTACCAACATCTGCTAAGTAACACCAGTCGTAAATTATCTAAAAAACCTACTGTTAGTAAAATATCCATATTCAAATTTGCGTTGTAGATACAAAAATCCATTTTATTATCTATCATCAAACAAAACACGTTGAAAGTGCTTTTCTCGTACAAATTTTGGTTTTTCTGATGACCAAAAATCATTATTAAAAATACTCTCCCGTGACAATGTTGATTCGTCGGTCCAAATAATTCTTTATAAAAAATATGAAGCTTTCAGAACAAGAGGTTGCATTCGCAAACTTATTGTGGCGATTTACATTTATTTCACTTTTTAAATGTGGCCACAAATCTAAACAATTCTCTCTAAGATAAATCCTTTTTCCAAAATGTAAAAAATTGTTTTTGAGGTCATTTGTAGAAATAACCCCACACTGTTATATATTTTATAAGATATAGATGAGTATATCTTATACATATAAGATATAGGCCAAAAACAAAACTTTATTATTTTTCAGAATGACGAAACCAATTAGAAAAAAACTGACAGCGCCACTGAATTCTACGTAAAAATTTATATCTCATGCGCTGTTCACGTTTAAGACATTTCATGGGATGGTCGAGATAAAAGTAACAAAGGTTTGCAGGACTCTATCTTCGCTAACAACGGACATACCTCTCAGTCGCGACCAAGATGGGACACAATGTACATTAGTGAAATTTTTTATTCTTGATCGAGATCAGAAATGTCAATGAATGTAGCCACAATCTTCTTTTCTGATGACATGTTGAACATAGTTACTTCAAATATGTTCAGCACATACACAATACATGTTCTGTATTTAACCCGGGGTTGCTCATTGCCACATATCGCATTACTTGCTTCCATACCATCTCGGTAGAATTAAGCTCACTCACTCACACAAGCTCACTAATACAAGGAAATAATAGAGAACTTTTGTTGAATATTCAAGGCTTTTGAAAGAGTGTAATACACACCTTTGCATCTTTTTCAAGAACAACTTTCTAATGCTGTTGTCTGGTGCGTACAAATCTTGTACACCTAAAATATGCTTCCATGGTCGGGGCATCAATCCTAAACTTATATTCGATATTTTGAGGATGTACAAAAAACCGTGTAGAACTTCTTGTTTTTAGAAGCTTAGATGGCGTTTACTCAGAGAGAGCTTTCCCTGATTGCAACGCCACAAACCAAATGAGAAATTATAACTGCGTAGAGAAAGTTGATTTTTTTGTTAGCTGCAGTACCTATGCCTGGGTACTTTATTGCTCTCAAAGGCTATATAAAAGAGTCTTAAGAAAAATTAATCTAGATTGTAAAAGGAGATAGTTCCATTTCACTAGATGGTTTGTAACGTGTAACTTTTCTTGTAGTTACAATGCTCTATTTTGGTGTTTAATTTATCTTACTTGGGATTTCAGCCTATACTCTGAGAGTATCGTTGTTGTGTTAAGGCTACCTGCCTTTTCAGGTAATTACAGTTAGAGTAGAGGTAAAGTGTTCCATGAAATACACCGATCTTGTGCCAGCTGTTTTGATATCAATAATGCAAATTTCAAAAATACTAAACTTCTAAAATAATATGGTTTATTTGAAATAGTACTGTTGAACTTTAATATGGGGATTTCTATAAATTACTTCTCGACGTTTATAAAAATAAGGATAACCATTTTGAATCTACCCCTATCAACCTACCAACACGAAGAATGTTATGAAACATAGCCTTTGTGTGGAGACCGTTCAAAATATTAGGTGGTATATTAACAGAGGAAAGGCGCCTGTTTGAAAAAATATTCGCTACTTTGAAAGAATTACATCATTTCCAAAAATTTTGAGTTCAAATCATTTTAAATGAAATTAACTAAAAATGTTCCAAATAATTTTTGTAACATGTGTTCTACAAGGGTTCATTGTACATGACACAAGCATATTTACTCTTAATTGTTTTACTCTAATAAAATTTTATTTCACGATTTAGGTGCTAAATGGGCGAAAATATATTTTTTTCAGATATGGAGGATATGGTGGATATGGAAGCGGTTACGGTGGCGGCTACGGAAGCTATAGCGGCTCGAGATACAGAGACCCTTACTCTTACGAATCCGGATATAGATCGACGAGCTATCTCTACGACAGAGCGTCGTCGTCTACTTCTACAATCATGCCCAAATCGGAGAGCGATGGAGGCAATACTCCAAGTCCCAACCAAGATGTCGGGAATTCCGGATAAATTATTTCTTTTTAAGTTGGAAAGTGTTTACGTTTAATATACTACAATCGATACTAGTTATAAGAATAAGTTTCTCTCGTTCTTTACCGAAATGACGCGTCATTTTTGAAACCTAGAGTTGAAATTCTATCAAAGGATTAGTTTGGTCGATTTAAAAGATATTCTTATGGGTATTAAGCTCCCTTCTTTGTTTGAATTGGAACATACGTTTTCTTCGCCTACAAAACTACGTTACTATAAGATACAACGTAACACACTGATTTTTTGACCTTCGCATTATATCATATCTTGCTGAGTTTAAAAATGGGGTTCCGTTCAGATGCTTTCTAACAGGTAGATGCTTAAATGAAACGCTTCGATTGATATTCTTTTTTATTTAAAAATTCTACTTCACTACCCTCTGATTTGCTACAATAATCCAAAAGAAAAAATGACACGTTTCCCTCGTACGACAACGGCAATTACAAGGAACGTGTTTTTACAAGCCGACAGTTACGGAAATGTTTTTCGGGAGTTAATCCTATTTGGAATTATCCAAAACCAAAAACAGCGATCGATACAGGCTTACTTCTAAATCGATGTAGTATTTAACAGTCTTACAATTAGATAACGTAGATAAACTATTCAAAATAAACGAATCGAACTTTTATAGAAAAAACATCTGCGCAACAAAAAGCAACCGGAACGATATAGAAATCCCAACACCTGTAATAGAATGTCGATTTAGTATTGCAACTCGTTTGTGGTGTTAACTTTTTATCGCTAAGGTTTTTAGTGTTTAGTTTTTGAACATTTTCAATAAAGTCCATAAAACAGCCTTTAATGTCTTATTGTTCCGTTAATTAACTTAATAATCAACGGATAATATAACAATATAATAATTTCTTTGACAAACTCCAAAAACGAAAATCACATGGGAGGATGCACTGTATCGGTTTATGTGCATGTTTATAGTGTCAACGATTTGGTTAAGAACACACAAGACTGCAGGTAGATGCAGTGAACTTGACCTAATGTGGAATAACAATGGCGTGATAAAAAAGTGAGACAAATTTTACAAAAAAAAGATGATAATAAAATATATATAAATATTTGCAAAACAAAATAATTTAACTTCTTTAAAAAAATACACACGTTATGCCGATGTTTCTTATTTCTTGGAAAAGGCTAGGGAAATTTTCTTATAAAATGTTTGTCACTGTGAACACACTTTTTACAAAACGTCTGGATTCCTCCTGCGTTGGTATTTGTTAAGTCGAACTTGCTAACGTTTCGCCAATCATCCTGTTGGCTTCTTCGAAGCTTAAGCAAAACTGGCTCGCATTTTACTCTGTACCAGCTTATATATTGTTTGACGGGGTCGGAGCTAAATGAGGGATATAAACATCGTCTCGGATGACTGATTCTCTAGAATTTCGGATCTTTCGTTGGTAAAAGAATTGATTACATGCAAGAATTTTTGTATTTGGCTGCAGATGAGTTCATTTCTCGAAGTCTGAAGGCTCTTTCATGTTCTTTGAGACAAGTTGACATTTTTCGTCCGGTCTCTCCAATGTATTCTTTGCCATATATGCATGGAATATTGTAAACTCCTGGCATCTCAAATGGAATTTTGTCTTTGATGGATCGAAATTGTTAAACCCAGAATTAAAACAACTTACCCCTGCTCTTCTCTCTGTAATTTCCACATCTTCCACAGCCTTCCATCGCAAAATACACTTCACCACAACCTTCTAATAGCAATGAGGCCGAAAGCAATACCTCCTCTCCTTCCTTACATTCAACATTACTGACCACATTCCAAAAGTTCTAAAGAAATATAACATCAAAACCAGGTTTACCACTTGTCCAAAACTTCGATACGTGAAAGACAAAATTCCATTTGAGATGCCAGGAGTTTACAGCATTTCCTGCATATGTGGCAAAGAATACATTGGAAAGACCGGACGAAAAAGAACAACTAGGCTCAGGAATATGAAAAAGCCTTAAGACTAGGAGAAATAAACTTATTAGCACTTGTCAAACACAATCACGAAACCGGATATAAAATTTTATTCGATAAAACTAAAATTTTGGCATGTAATCAATTCTTCTAATATGGGAATCAGTCATCCGAGATAATGTTTATGCCCCTCATTTTGCTCCGCTCCCTTCAAACAATATATTAGCAGGTACAAAGTAAAATGCGAGCCAGCTTCAGCTCTGAAGAAGCCAAAGCGAAACGTTAGCAAGTTCGACTCAATAAAAACCGACGCAGGAGGACTCCAGAAGTATAAAGTATTACAACAGCCTGTGGAAGTTTCTTTCATAAATGACTTAGAGAAGATGTTATTACCGAAATTATTTACTTTTTATAATTTGGCAATTAAAAAATATTTTCTTAAAAACATTTTAAAAAACCTTCTAAAATAAAGCATACAGATTGATTTAGCAGTATGAATTTTTTATTATTACAAAACCGACTCCAAATTCATTCTTAATTACTTAAATAACAACATTTATTAAATATTTTTTATTTCCTGAAATTTTTTAAAAATATTCTCACTCAATTTTTGTAACAAAATCGGGAGAAGAAGAATTAACATATTAGTATATTTCTAAATGGTGCACCCAAATATTGATAATCATGTTATCACACCGAATTACACCAAAATATAAACGTTTTTTTGTCGGTCAGTTTCGGCTGCATTTATTGGTTCCAATTTAACACAAGCGAAATAATTTCGGTTCGATAAATTGAGTTCACTGAGTAGATGTGGCAAAAATTTCCCGCTGTTAGTGGTGTTGCTAAATAAGCCTGTAGGTACTGGCAAGCTAGAAATATAGTAGCCGTTCAAGCTTTTCTGTTAGGTGTTGGGACCTGATGTTTACCAATATAATATTAAATTATCTGTAAAAGAAAATACAATAGTCCGATCTATGTAGGGATCAAATTTTTTTATAACTGATGGCGATCCTGCGTTGTACATAGCATTCCAGATATAAACACCTCATCCAGCGATATTATTCGTGATCTATTATTTACATTTCACACACCTAGCCTAAGTTTTGCACATATATACAATAAACTAGACATAATTCCATCCGTAACGTAGCGATCACAGCAAGGTTTTACCAATAAGTCGAAGATAATCGAATTGTTACAAGAGTCTTGGAAGAAACTTTGTGAGCGAATCCCTCATGTGGACAATCTGATAAATTTCCAAGATATCTCTGGAAACAATTCCACTATCTGATGCCTCGTTCGATAAAAATAAATTTTTCTAAAAGGACCTTTTACCCTGGAAAGTCTATTGGTTTCTCTTTGAAGCATTTCTCATCGGTTTGAGGGGGTGCACTGGATACTTGGATGGGCTACTGTTCGCGGCGATGTCGTCCCTGAACGCCAGGAAGCCCAACTGGGCGTGGGACGCTTCGTTGAGAGCTCTCGATCGGATGCAAGCTCGGTACTGGTCGGCGGATAGTTTCTGACCTCCTGGGCTACCAGAACATACCTGAGACAAAGGGTGGCATCTGCATTAACCTATTATAGCACGCTAGTCGTTATGCATCAATACAGTTTTGGAGAGGACAAGTGGCGGAAGAGAGGTTGTTGTAGGTTAGATAAAATATGTATGAAGGACTATCCATTTAAAGGAAAACATTAATCAACACTGGTGCGCTTTATGGGTATTCAGGACTTGGGGTTTTAAGAAGGCTGTAACTTTTTGCCATGAAGACAGCTTCTTTGAATTTGCACTTTCTATAGTGAGTTGCCTTAGAGACCACAACGTCTCTAATCATTGTATGTTGTCTTGCTTCCACCAAGAATGTTCTGATATCCGAGATCTCAATAATTTATTTAGAGAATATTCTGTGTTCCAAATAAAAGCTTAATATAAGCTATTGCAAAACTGAAGTTTTCTATTTCAGGGACTGATAAGTTTGATATTGTCCAGTATGTGTTGATTTTGGATATAAACATGTGCTAATTCTTCTACTCACGAGGATATTTACGAATAGTCAGCTTTGTGTGATTTTCACATTACTGTACACTAAGGCATCTTAAATCTTCGAGACTGTCAAACGATGCTATCATCGACGCACCTAATGTTATTCAGTCTGTGTTCGTTTATTAGAATTCCATTTTCCATGCTATCTAGGGCTTCATTGAAGATGCGCTTAGAGCAGAGGTTGGAGATAATTGGTAAAACCACTCCCTCTCCTTTCACTCTAAGGTTCAAGACCTGGTTCCATTGGAGGTACCCAAACCTTTGTTATCGATACCTGCTTCTTTCAGTATTTTGACCATCATTTCGTATTTTACTGGGTCAAATGCCTTTTGATAGTCGATCAGCCATGCGCATACGTCACAATTCATGTTTCGGAATCTATGATATAAGACTTGCACTGCCAGTGTTACTCTAGAAGCCCAATGTTGTTGTTTATTAGGACTTATTGTGCAACAGTTTTTACACCTCTTTAGTCTTGTTTTCTTTGTAATAATGGGTGTTTTTTTTTCGATGTATAGAACTTTAAGTTGACATTACTGCTCAAGATGGCGACCGATTTAATAGCTGTCAAGTGATTTATTTTCAGTATGGTTTGGCAATTCATCATGAGTAGACTCACGCCTGAACAACGCGTGCAATAATGCAATTTTATTTCGAAAATAATGGTTCTGTGCAGAATACGTATCGCGCACTACGTTCATTTTATCGTCGACTGCTGCTGTAGAGCGTAGCATTGAGGAAGGCCCGAATGAATCCATCCGCCATCGAGCACAGGAATTAGATCTGTGTCCATCCACTTTATGGAAGATTTTGCGGAAGGATCTTGGTTTACGTGCTTATAAAATCCAACTCGTGCAAGAATTGAAGCCAAACGATCATCAAGTAAGGCGCAGATTCGTCGAATGGGCCCAAAACGAGATTGCCGTTGTTCCCGATTTTCATAAGCGAATTTTATTTAGCGATGAAGCGCACTTCTGGTTGAATGCTTACATCAACAAACAAAACTGCCGCATTTGGAGCGAAGCTAATCCTCAAGTGTATGTCGAAACACCGTTACATCCAGAAAAACTAACTGTTTGGTGCGCTTTATGGGTTGCTGGAATCATTGGTCCGTACTTTTTCAAAAACGATGATGGCCAGAACGTTACAGTCAATGGTGATCGGTATAGAGCTATGATTACTAACTCTTTCGTTCCTGAATTGAATAACTATGATGTCCAGGAGATGTGGTTTCAACAAGACAGCTCAGCATGACACACAGCTCGTGCCACAATCTATTTATTGAAAGACACGTTTGGTGACCGCCTAATTTCACGTTTTGGACCTGTGAATCGGCCTCCAAGATCTTATGATTTAACCGCTAGACTACTTTCTGTGGGGCTATCTAAAGTCATTGGTCTATGCGGATAAGCCACAAACGCTTGACCATTTGGAAGACAACATTCGCCGTGTTATTGTCGATATACGGCCGCAAATGTTGGAAAAAGTCATCGAAAATTGGACGTCCAGGTTGGACTACATCCGCGCTAGCCGTGGCGGTCATATGCCAGAAATCATATTTAAAATGTCATGCCACAAGATTATCTTTCGGATAAATAAAATTCATGTTAATCGAATAATACGTCGTTGTTTTATTGCAACTTAAAGTTCTATACAACGAAAAAAACCGCCCCTTATTTACAAACTGAGTCATTTGTATGGAATTATTTCAGTGCCATAAGTGTTGTTAAACACTTGTTTAATAAAAGTGATTTATTTATCGTCAATTAGTTTGAGGAGCTCAATTTGGATGGTATCTGGACTCCATGCTTTACCATTTTTTACTTCACTTAGAAATTTCTCTATGTCAAATTGTTCTCTTCCGTAATCCTCAAACATTTTTTCTAGGTATTCTTGCCAGGTCATGATTTCCGTTTCTTTATCTACTATAGTCTGACCTTCAGACCCTGTGAGGTTTTCTAGTTGTTTGTTTTTGAAATTACCGATGAGCTCTTTGATCTTTTCTGTAACTGTCGTATTTATTTTTTAGTGCCTCGATTTTCGGACACTTCTTTTATTTTATTTCTGATCGCAATCTTTAGTGTTCTATATTTCTATGGGTCATTTTTGGATATTCTTCTCTCCTTCATCACTTGCATTATTTTGTTACGTCTCTAAGCACGTCAAGACTCTTATTAAATGCTACCACTGGAGAGATTAAGGAACATATCGGTATCATAGATTTATGCTGACAGCACCTCAAGAGCTCCATCAGTGACATCCTGACCAACCTCGATGTTGAATAACATTGAAACCGATGTGCTCCAGAATGGTTGGGAAATCTCTAAATGGTTGGTAAAAACTCACCTTTATCGATTACATATGCAAAAAATTAGTCAAAAAGATCAAACGAAGGGCAAAATATAGTTTTTTAGTCAGGAGCGACTTATAGAAGTGCTTTGACTGAAACATCGAATCCAATATTGACTATGCTACTAAATATCTTGTATCTTGAAGACAAAAAGTCACCTAAATGTACCATTGGAGGAACACAAAAATACATACGGAAGAGTGAAACATTGTGACTGGTAGAAGCAATATAACATCAAATGGTCAGCGCCACGCGTATGCGCAGCAAATGCTAACAACCTGCTAACTGAAGCAAGTGGACAACTGGAGAACTTCATTGTTGACTACATCAACGAATGAAGCACTGCTTAAACGAATACTTGCAGACTGTGTTAGTATTATAAATAAAGACAATGTAAGTTTGAAGTTCTTTTACGTTCAACAGTTGTAGCTACCTAGTCGAACTCGTTGTGGAAACGCCTAGAGATGCAATGAACCCAACTTAAAGAATCATCTGGTAAGAAAAAAGTAACGCGACACGTTTGCAAACCCTTAGGGGCCAAGGCGGATCTAAGGGGGAGGACCCGGTGATAATTCAACCTCGGGACCGCGTCTCCCCCAAAGTCGCGACTGTTTCTTCCGCGTCTGAGAGGCCAAAATGCAAAGTCAACAATGGGACATTCGTCACAAAGGGATCAAAGGCCGAACTTTGTAAAGCAATTTGTAATTCTAACTGCCTGGAAATTTGGGACAATTACGGAAGGCGAAGAAGGAAAGTGCAGCGAAGTCTAAGTTTCGGCACCGAGAGAACAACGGGCGTCGTCGGTCTTTTGTTTTGAGACAATTCGATGAAAATTGCAGTTGTTTTTGCGTTGTTCATTTTCTTCGGAGCCGGCGCTAAAGCGTCGCTAATTGACAACCGGATAAACTGTCGAATGATGATGTTGCTAGATAATTTTTTTTTAGAGTCGGTACATACGAGAGTCAAATTGTGTCTGTGTAAATGTGTAACGGGTTGAGTCGACTAAAGAGTAAAGTTCAATATCACATTGGTTAAAAAAAAACGTGAGGAATAAAGCATACATTTTTTAAATTTTGTTTAAAAATTGTTTTGAATTCCCTTAGTAATTCTTCGACGTTTTAAACATAACAGTTTTTGCAATATTTTCATTTTTCAAAAAAAATGCAATGCATTTGCAAAAAAATTACGATAGCGCCTTCATTTTTAAAGGTAGATCGCTCATCTTTGATATCAGTTTTTCTGGAAGATTATGTACAAGATATACTAAAAGGATGTCGAACTTCCATTGCCTTTATTTTACACAATGTTTCGGACAGTTGTATCACTACCCGTTATCAAATGTAAACTAAACTTAGCGCCTTATTTGAGGTTGCCAAATTGTTGGTATATCCACGCTTGGATTGCTGAAGATGTTTTTATTGTTTCTAATGAAAACTGCTTCTTTAAATTTGCGCTTTCTCCAATGCTGCTCTCTGTGAACAACCCGCGCTCTGGACCATTGGATGTTGTGTTGTTTGGTCCACACATGTTCTGCGATTCCTGATTTTTGCGTTTCACCCTTTATTTTATGTTTATTATGTTCTTCAACTCTTATTTTTATAGGTCGTTTTGTTTCGATAATATATGACTCTCCGCATTCACAGGGTATCTGGTAGATCCACTCTTTCTCTTGAGTTGACATTTCAGGCTTTGTTTTTGTGAGTACACTTCTTAATGTTGATCCAGATTTAAATACAGTTTTAACTTGATATTGTTTAGCTATTCGCCTAATCTTTTCTGATATTACTTTCACGTATGGGATCGTCAAGAGAGAAAGAGTATCTACCTCCCATGGTTCTGGTGTTGTTTCCCGCTTACAGTTTGTTATGATTTTGTTTATAGATTTTTTGGAGTAACCGTTCTGAAGCAAATCCTTTCTAATATTATTCAATTCGGCATCGAGAGATGCTTGGTCGCTACATATTGTGATTGCTCTGCGCACAGTGTTTTAATTATTTCTAGTTTGGTTGCTTCAGAATGGTTAGACTCAAAATTTAGATACTGTCCTGTGTGGGTAGGTTTCCCATATACAGATGTGTTAATAGAACCATTATTTCTATTTTATTATTACTATTATTACTAGGACGTCTAGAAACGGTAGACGCCGTTCTTT